CAAAGAGTAAAAGGGTGAATGGGAGCAATGAAAAATACGGCAAACATAGTTGAATAGTCCGCACTACAGCTCTCGACCATAAGAACGAAGGAAATGCTGCCAAGTCCATGAGACTGTACAGGTAAAACAAGTGTGAGGGACGGATCTGCCCAACTTAGAAAGACATACTTTTCCTTAGAAATGAAGGGAAATGGAGACTCCTACACAAAATTCCAGAGTAAGAAAAGATAAAGAGAACTGCTTCTCGATGGCTGCGACCGAGACAGACTCCTAACCTCCTCCTTCTACATGAGGTAAACGAGTGGCCATAAAAAGCGCCCCCCTCTCCCTCCTCCTTCGTTCCATCCTTTGTTTCGAATCTACGACAGTGTGACCAATAAGGAAAGGGGTACAGTAAAAGGCAGTGAGGCGAACCAATGGGACGAGTTAGTGCAAGAAAACGAGGTTTCTCTTTTTCTTTTTTTGCGACTGTTTGCTGCTGTTGCTGTGATTATTCTTTAGCCATTTGTGGAGGTGCGTTCGCCAGCCATCCTCTTCTTCTTCCCCTTTATAGCCGAGCTGAGGAGGTCGCAGTTTAGGTCAAGGAGAGTGGTAGTGGCTTTGGGGAGAGAGAGAGAGAGAGAGAGAGATGGTGAGGGGGAAGACGGAGATGAGGCGGATAGAGAACGCCGCCAGCCGGCAGGTGACCTTCTCCAAGCGCCGCAACGGCCTCCTCAAGAAGGCCTACGAGCTCTCCGTCCTCTGCGACGCCGAGGTCGCCCTCATCATCTTCTCCAGCCGCGGCAAACTCTACCAGTTCTCCAGCTCCAGGTTAATTCCTCGTCTCCCCTTCTGCCGCCACCTGATCACTGTGGAACCGATCCCTTTCATGCCTTCTTCTCGACATCTATCAGTGTGTGGTGCCTGTCTTCTGCCTCCATTACTGCAACAAAATTGATGGGTCTCTCTCCCTTGTACTGTACGCAGTACAGGTTTTTGCTTCCCAGGCAAGGAGTTGGACACTCTCCTTTTGATGCTCCTGTACCTAGAAACTGAGAAGGAGCTTTTCCACTCGGTTGATCTCTCCGAGAACACTGCCTTTTGCAGTGGTATTCCATGGAGATGTTTAGTCGATTTGTCTTCAAGATTACCAACGCATGTACAGCAAAGGATCACACAACCGAACTAGATATCTAGATCTCATGTTCAAGATTTTGTGGTGTTACATGTAGCAAGATTAGTTTCAGATTTGTGGTATCCATCATGTAGCTCATATTTCTTTCACACATTAGCAGTACACATCCAACAGCTGCATCCATTATTAGACATGTCAGGTCCTTCTCACTAAAGAGGGAGGATGAGTGATGGAGGGGTAAAGGTTTTGTTGCACCAAAAAGGAAAAAATATTGTGCTGTATTGTCCTTTTATTTCTGGTTGCATGTTTGGGGCTCCATCATAATGCTGGCCATCTCTAATAGTATGCCTTCATTTCACAGTCCAACCTTTTAGCTATTTGGAGAGAAGTTTCTATATATCAACTGATTTACTTGAGAGCATTAATCATGAAATTAATAGCAAGCACCCTACTTTGCTTCTACATCATAGTTCCAGAGTTTGTTCTTTAGTGCAACACTTGTACTAGACACTTGGAAATAGGTCACAGCTAAATATGGTGGAGAGCTCTATTTCTTGGAGATATATCTTCCTACTTTGGTCACAATCCCTTTTCTTGCATCTTTTTTGTGCTTGCCTCAAGTTAATGGCATTTCTCAAAGATGAGACTCCAAACACACCTTCTTGTTAAGGTGCATCGATAAGCAGTGACTTTGGTTTGATTCCTCAATGCTAAGTCCCATTCTTTTCTGTTTATATATATTGTCTTTCTTCAGTAAATGCATGTAATAACATAAAGATTTATCTTTAGAAATCCTAATTACATATTTCATTTTAGGATCATGTGATGGAACATCCTCATTCATGGGGATTACATACCAGTGGACAGCTTCTGCACATCAAGTGCTTCTATTGGTTTTGTCTCACACATGAATTATCATATCTTTAAATGTTGACTCTTTAGCCATTGACTTGACTTTAGACTCTTTGTTATAGCTGATATGCATGCCTCATCATTTACGAACCTTTTTCTCTGCAACTTCAACGTTGCAAGATTATGAAGTTGTACATTCTAATTCTGACTGACATCATGTGCTTGCAGCCATAAGTTTTCCTTGATCCTATGGTGCATTACCTCAGGAACTTCAAGTTACCTTCAGATCTTGCCTCAACAGTATCATCAAACTCGCAATCGGTATTCCGAGGAAGAAGATAGCTAGCTTTCATCATTCATGCCCCCCTTGACCTTTACAATATTATTTCTATTGATTATATCGGTTAGACGTGTTCAGTGAATTCTTAATTGGCTGCTAAACATCGTAGGCCGTCTTCGAACTTAGTTATGAAGGATCAGTAATGCTTAGCTGCTGGTGTCTTTGTCAATTGATACCGAAACATAATCGACTTTGTGCCGTAGATTATTATTAGGATAGACCGGGTCTTGCACTGAATATAGGATTCGGGAAAGGATACCTTTCGCCTAAGCTAATCCAAATATTTGATCGCGTTGACCCAATTTTGATTTGTATGTTTGCTTCTTCAGTCGATAGAAGTAATATATGGCCAGCGAAGGATTGCTTTCTAGCTTATGCTTCCACCATTCTCCTTAGACTAAATCTTGAGACAAATTCTTGTGTCGGAAGTACTGAGTTCTGATGAGAATAACGGAGTGCTTAGAGAATTATTATGGTCAGATACTTAGGGCCAACCTGTACGGGAACTTAAATCCTCTTCAAGAATAGAGTTCATCTTTGGATGACTTAGAGTTGCATATTCCTTGCCACTTTCACCTCACTAAGTCGAAGGAGACTTAGTCCTCATCCCAAGTCAACTGCTGCAACATAGCATGGCCATGCATGCCTTCATGTGGATATCTCAACCTTACAACTCTTTCTGCATGGTAAAACTACTCTTGAGATCGTCATAGACATGTATGTACATGTTATGTGACCTAGAAACCCTAACCTCGGATGACTCCTGCAACCATGAACTCGGTGAGAAACCTCGGCTAACCTATGGAATCCTTGCTTTCTAGCATAAGGTTTCTGACCTATTTAGTGCAACATAAAAACAATTGTCACGGTCAGACCTAAAACTATGAACCCTAAACCCTATAGATTAATTCCAAAGAGTTGATTTCACTTGGACTAGAGATGAAACATTGCTGAACCATAAGGCGCTAATGGCGACGATCTCACCCCATCTTGCTTGTGTGTATTGGTAAATTTTGTGATCTCTAATGATCTAAAATGTAAGTGTAACCCTATATTTCATTAAGTTCCATAATGATCGAGCCACATAAGTGATCAAAATGATGCACATATGTTTCATCAAGTTCCATAATGATCAAGCCACATAGGTGAACAAAATGATGCAAGATGAGCATCCAGAGAGAAGAGATATCACTATTGTCATTCAGATTTTATTCATGAATGGTGAGCACTGTCGGATATACATATGTAACAAGAGTTGCCTCTCGTATTTGCTGAGTAGCTTAGTGAGTTTGAGGAGTCGATCAGTAGATGGATCGATGGTCTTCGATCACAGCAACAATAACAATACCGATACGAACATATCGAGATAATTCCCAGGTAATACGATTCAAATACACATCAAGTCAGGAGAAATTATACTCTAGCATGGTGTACATTTTTAGGAACAATGATGGAACCATGTCAAGAATTGTCGCACAGTTTATTCCCGATAGTTATCAATTAAGACTTGATAATCCTTTTTGCCATTTAGCTTGCTAGAGAAAAGTGTCATTTAGTTCATCTAAGCCCTTCATATCAGTTAATATTATTAATGCAACCTTCGATACTCTTTCTCTTCATCTGCAGCATATTGAAGTTGACTTCACCCACTTATCAAGGTGCAATCACAAATTTGAATGCATTTATGCTCCATTCTCAAAAATATATTACCCCGACTCGATTCCAAAATAGATTTTTTTTTTTCATCTTGAGTTTTATTTTTTCTCAAGGTAAAACTGTCTCGAGAGCATTGTGGTTTTGAATATGAATGTCATTTGCTCATTCTCATTCATTTGTGTCTATTTTATGAATCTATATTTTCAAATTAAATAGTTACTTTTTGAATAAATAATGCATGAAAGTAGTAGTTTTTCATGTTATTTATGTTTGTAGGCATTATCAATAAAGTGCATATATCCAACATATTTAACTACATGTGTCAATTGAATGTATACATATACACAGACACAACTTTTGCATGTTATAGCATCAAAACCAATTCTATGTAATGTGTCACTTTACCTTTTTTTTGTCTATTTCTGAGGATAAATTGGATAGTTCCACTTAATATCCATATATAAGAATAAAGGAAAAAACCAAAAACCAGCATTGGAGCTTGGCATTTGATGTAATTCCCTTCCAATTTTACACTTGTTCAAATACTTGTTATGTTCTTACTTTCACTATAGCATCATGTAGATACATGTTTCTTGTCTACTTTTCTTTGACTCACTGCATTTTACATTGAAACCATCACCAAAAACCTGTGCATGCAAAGTCATAGTCTTGTGTGCACTCCCCTATACAAATCAATATCTATCTCTTGGTCTTAAGTTGAACTTACAGATATTAGCCATGCTTTGGTAGCTTTTGGAAACTGTTGGGGCCATGTTAAGGTTGCTTCTTTATGTTATGAGTATAAATATGATTCATGTCAATGGAAAAAACCTCTCTATTTGTGGGTTAAGATTGCTTCTTGTGCACATATTCTTGCATCTATAAGTTCCATCTCATATTGGTCCAAATATACCATTCAAATCTTTCCCATGTTTTAGGCAGTCCTATCAGCAAATGAGCACCTATAACATTAGAAAATGAACTCTTGATATCTTGATATTGCTTTATGTTCTGTACCTAAGTTTGTATCTGATGTTTAGCCTATCTAGCTTACTGTATTTGATTGACATTCAGCATCTAGTATCAGACCTCCCAAGTTATCTATGTGATTTCATTTGAATTATCACAATCTTTTGCACTTAAATTCATAACTATCCTTGTCAAGGCAACCCCACAGTGCAAAATTTATGTCTTGGTGCATCTGTATGAGTTCTCATTAAACTAAGATAGTTCCCAATGTGATCCCTTGCAAGGATTTTCATAGCCTAATAATGTAGAAGATATCCTGGCCTACTACCTAAAGTCTCCTTTATCTTTGTTTTCCAGCTCAGTTGCAATATGATGTTTTTGTAATGTGATCTAACTTATCGGATGCATAGACCTAATTGAGTTAGCTTCTGTGAGAACAGAAATGTCTGCTTTTGGTTCCTATGCTTTCCAGATTGCATTTTGTAAAATATCTGACTTAACCTTGTCCATTTTTGTTGTCCAGTGTTGAAAAGACGATCCACCGCTATATGATTCACACAAAAGATGTAAATTGCAAACAGAGTTTGGTGGATCAAAAGATGCAGGTTGACCATGCTTCATCTTTTACATGATTTCCCCGTTTTGCTATCTGGATTTAGATTAGTGTAGGCATGCAAGAAAGCACAGTTTAGCATGAACTGCTAGAACCTGACTTGAGGAATGTGACAAGACTCACTGGAGATTTCATTGCAAATATCAAAGTTGATGAAACATTATTTGGATGATCTAAAGCATTAGCTAAATTCTACATTAAATTCTGAACCTTAAGTAACTCCAAAAGTATCTGTTATGACTGATTACCATTCCACTTCAGTGCTATCAACAATGACCAAAGATATCTTCCTTCAAAGGAGAAGGAAGAATGATGTTGTCAATCACTCTACGATAGTCAGCTAATGAATCATAGAAGGGACTTACAATGTTCATGGAAAACAATTTGATATCTCCTTTGGTTCCCTCCTGTGTTGCAGAATTTGGTATCTGAAGCCAAAAATATGGCCAAGCAGATTGAACTTATTGAAGCCCAGAAAAGGTAATGGCACTCTGACCGGAGTTCATTCTCACTGTTCTTGCCAGAAGTCAAATGCTCTTTCCGGTTAACACTGCTGAACACTTTGGAGAGTATCATCCGCTGCAGGAAGCTGTTGGGTGAAAGCTTGGAATCTTGTTCGGCAGAGGAATTGCATGAGCTAGGGAATCAGCTAGAGGAGAGCCTGAGGCAGATCAGAAACAGAAAAGTAAGTTCTAATGGCACTTCCTATCTTCTCTTGCTGATCGATTGTGACTCGAGACTTCTTCTCTTCCTTCATTCAGCATAGCATCCTAACCGAACAGATTGCAGAGCTCAAAGAAAAGGTAAAGACATCATTCCATCCTTGCTGAACTCTGTTGCTTTCAACTTCTACTGTAAGCTAAGAATTGCCTCCTTGTGATCCTCATGAAACAAAGGAGAGGAGCCTTATGCAGGAGAATAAATTATTGCGCGAAAAGGTGAGGAATCTGCTACATTTTACCTTGCAAAGAGACTGATCCATCTTCGATGAAAGATCAACTAATTGTGCATTTTGATTTCTTATCAATCGACTAAAGTTCAAGGAAGGAAATATGCCACAATTACATGCTGCAGAGTTTGCTGCAAGCGATCGGAATGCTCAAAGCATGGAGGTAGAGACAGAGCTGATGATCGGAAGGCCGGGAACTCGCTAATTATCGTGATTGTACCTCTTGAAAACCAAGTTCCATCGATACACAAGTGTGTGCACAGCAAGAGGAATCGGAAAACACACACCTCATTGTAGGTGATGAACAAGCAAATGATCATGTTGGAACTCATGTCGCGGACAGACTTGTTTGTGGATGCTTGTGAATGCTGATTGCTTACCAGAGCTTGATGTCTTTGTTTGTTGTGCAAATAGTGATCACAGAATTGCTACTGAATGCTGCAAACATGGAAGGTTATCGCGCTTGAGAGACACTTTGTCCTCCTACTTGGAGAGCTTCTCGAGGGATCGATCACTTGCTAAAGACCACAAGAGACACGAATCTTAGGGCAGAGATGGAATCTACGCTGTGTTTAGGCACTCGTGCCACGTGGACGTTGTTTTGTTGACGTGTCCTTTTTCTATTCGAGCATTATCTTACTCCTCGTCCCGCCCGTGCGGCTCCTGTTCACTCGGCGGAGTCTGCCATTGGGTGATATCTGTGGGCCCCGGATGTGTGAATCTATAGGAGCGCGGGGAACGACGTTTGGTCGCTGGACTTCTGCGCACTGGTACGGCCCGCTGCCATCAGTCTCATCGTCTCTTTCGTCCGCCTCGGTCTTCCCATCCTGCTGAACGAAACACCTCGCCCTTTCCCTTTCTTCGTTTCCCGCTCCACTCCTCCTTGGTGCGGTGCCCGCCCTTGTACGCCTCAGACTTGGTCGCCAGCCTTTCGTCGAACAGGTAGCCGCCGCCCAAGAATTCCCGTTTCTTGGGCTCCGCCTCTGCATCTTCCTTCCTTGGTTGGGACTGCAGTGCGTCCCTTCCGGCCATCCTCCGTTGTTCCGCCGCCGCCAAACGTGGCACCTAGCTAGCCTCCTCGTTCTCCCAGTCTCATTTCGCTCCCGCCAAACCCCCACCACCGCCATCTCGGCCTTCGCCGGAGGCCCTCCTCATCCTTTCACCGCTGTCACCTTCAATTGGCCCACGTGTCAGCCTCGGCGCTCCGGAGTTTCCGCGCTGCAGCATCCCTTCCGGAGATGGAGGACAGCAGGAACGGAGGAGGAATGAGCTCTAGAAGCAGGCGGGGAGAGGAGGCAGCATTCGCTGAGCCGCGCCGCCAAAGACTCGGACGCATTCTTCGGGCGGCGCAAGGCCGCACCTCTTCCGGTTCTTGGCCGGGGACCGATTCAAGAATCGGCTGAAGAGGCCGACCCCTTTCTCGTGCAAGATTAAGTCGGTGCAAGACGAAGTTTCTTGAGCCATTCCAACTCTTTCTTGCTCGCTCTCGGAGCATGTGGCACGCATCTAGTCTTCCTCAAGAACTCTCACTCCAACAAATATAATTGTGCTATGGTGGAAAGAAGAATCCAATAAGTCAACCCGAGAATTTTGCAGAAAAGAAGCATATGCCAGTAAAAGCAGAACCGAAGAATACTTGAAGAAATATCACAGTGTGCAAAAGCAATTGCACTAGAAGAATAAGAAGACATCGACTCCACATTTCTTTGCTGATGCTCACACTCCCTTTTTTTTTTTCTTGCATATAATTAATTTCCTGCCATGACTGAGCCAGTGAAAATTATTAATGGTCAGAAGAACTGTTGTTGTACGGAATATTTCTATGGTATTTCGCACTTCTTTTTTCACAAGGTTTTTAATCAATGGCTATCCGCTAAGCAGTCATATTTTTCTATGCATGCAAGTGTAGAAATGAGTTGCTGGATCCGACAGCAAAACCGAAGCTACTGCAAAACGAAGCTTAAGTACCTCGATACTGTGCTATTATCTTAAATGAGACCTGTTGCGGGAAACAACTGTATGCCGTGGCCTCGGGGCCGTCGCGGCTTGGTTCGGGTCCGAATGCGGGGAGATATCGCGCGGCGTTCCTCGGGACAGCCAGGGTGGCCGGTTGCAATGGTCCGGGCGGGACGTTGCGTGTGGAGCAAAGCTTTTTCGCGACGCTGGGAAAACGCAACCTCGCCCTTGTACCTGCACATAGGTCGGGTCGGAAGCTCGGCCCGACCCCTCCGACAATCAAGTCAGATGATGTGGAAGGAGTTTTCTTTGCTCTTCCAGAAGTCTCCCTCTTTCGTTTAGAACTTGGGGGTATTTATAGGGCAGTTTAGTGTTACCTGATGTGCCTGCCTGCGGGTGGCAGGATCGTACTTCTGATGGCGTCTGACATTGCTATTGGCATTGCGTGGAGAACCGAGTTGCCGCAGGGTATGGACGAGGGTCGGTCGTCGTCCTCCTCTGCCTTGGTCAAGCGCACGGGGTCAGACAATGATGAAGTCGTTGTCTGAGAGCGAATGACATCAACGCGTGTTGGGTCAGCATTATTGCCCTCTTCCTCGGGCAGAATGGCGCTCAGGTGAGGCCGACATCGTGACATGTCATGTCGCCATTATTACCCCTATCATATTCCCCCCCCAAAAGAAGCTATGCTTCGGTTATGGCAATTGGGGGGAGTGCGAGGCATGACTTTGCCCCTTAGTGCCGCAGTAGTCTCAGGCGACATGAGGTCGAGCTCGTCTCGGGCGGTCAAGCGAGAGCATAGGGCCGAGGAGCAGAGGGCCGACCGCGCAGGCGTGTCTCTGGAAGCAGAGGGCCGAGGAGCACGACGCAGGCGGGCTGGCTGTGCAGGCGTGTCTCAGGGGGCATAGGGCCGAGGAGCACGACGCAGGCGGGCTGGACGCGCAGGCGTGTCCGGGGGAGCCTAGGGCCGAGGAGCACGACGCAGGCGGGCTGGCCGCGCAGGCGTGTCTCGGGGGGCATAGGGCCGAGGAGCACGACGCAAGCGGGCTGGCCGCGCAAGCATGTCTTGGGGGGCATAGGGCCGAGGAGCACAACGCAGGCGGGCTGGCCGGGCAGGCGTGTCCGGGAGAGCCTAGGGCCGAGGAGCACGATGCAAGCGGGCTAGCCGCGCAGGCGTGTCTCGGGGGGCATAGGGCCGAGGAGCACGACGCAGGCGGGCTGGCCGCGCAGGCGTGTCTCGGGGGGCATGGGGCCGAGGAGCACGACGCATGCGGGCTGGCCGCGTAGGTGTGTCTCGGGAACATGGAGCCAAGGAGCACGACGCAGGCGGGCTAGCCGCGCGGGTGTGTCTCGGGAACATGGGGCCAAGGAGCACGACGCAGGCGGCCTGGCCGCGCAGGTGTGGTCTCGGGCATTATGCGGTCGAGGATCACGACGCAGGTAGGCAGACCGCACAGGCGTGGTCGCGATGGTCATGC